TTAATACAAATTATATATATTATTAGAATATTATAGATAACAAAATTTCAGATATTTTTAATACCTACTTTATTTTTCATATTTTTTTACTTAAATATTTATTATCATTTTTTATAATTTCATTATTTGAATTTAAAAAACTTTCATATAATACTACTGCAAATGTTATTTGTTCTTTAGATATTTTTTAAGTATCTGATCATGTTTCATAAATGATTTTTTCACATCAGGTTTCATTTTTATCCTCTAATATACTTGTGTGCAACTTTTTGTAACATTCTTTAACTATATATTTTTCCTTCAAATTTTTAATTTTACTTGATAGTACTTTCATAATTATTTATAGAAGATTTTGAAATACCGCAAATATTGATTTTTTGATTTGTGAAAACATAGTCCTCCTTCTTGACCGATGTCTTTCTATTAACTTTGAATAATTCAAAATCTTTTATCAATTATTAGAGTATTTAAATTATAATGTAATTTAATAAAACTTATTTTTTTTGAATAATTAAATTATAATAAAATATTTAGCATTTGTTATTTCAATTTTTGAAAAGCTCTGGATATTTTCGAATAACATAGTTTATAGCAATTGTTTTCAATACTTCGTCACTTGGATAAATTGTTTTCAAAATTGTCTTGTTCATAATTTCATTATAATTTTCTTTTTTTTTTAGAATATTAAGAATATTATAAATAAAATAGTTTTTTTTTGTAAAGAAAATAAATAAATTACTTATATCGACAAAAGTTGAATTGTACATTTCATCCTATAATTTATTACTTTCAATTTTTTTTTGAATATTAATCATTTTCTTTTGTAAATCTCCAACTTCCTTATTAATTTTTTTTAAATAATTTAGCATTCGATCATCTTTTTCTTTTTTTGTTAATGATTTTTTTTCTCCTAATAAAATAAATTATACATTATAAAATATTTTTATTAAATATTTTAATATAAAAATTTTTGAAAAATTATTATCTGAATGTTAGTTTTCTCTTTTTATTTTCATTCTTCATCATTTTCTTACTTGAGATAATGAAAATTTTTGTCTTTTATTATCATCTAATATCAACACATTTTTTATTTTAGTCTCTCCTCTTGCAAGTAATAGTATTGATGTTACTTTTGATTCTATTGTCAAAGTAAATACTACTTGTGCTGAAGTCCTTTTTTTTGCTTTAGTAAAATTTGTTCTTCTAAATAAAGGATTAGAAATTTTATTTTTATCTCTTTTTTGTTTTTTTTTTGATGAAAGCTAATTAAAGTTCTTTGTAACATTTCGAAAATTTTTAAATATTTTAAAATTTATTTTATAAAGATAGAAGAATTTTAATCCATTATATATACATATTTTTTTATCTCATTTTTTCAGAATTTAAAATAATTCGAATATTTTCAAAATATATCATCATATTTCATTTTACATATGTATTATTTTTCATTAGATGTCAACCCTTCTTTTCTTTTTTTGATACATTATAATATTATTTCTAATTAATTACATAAATATTGAATTCATATCATAAATTATTTTAGGATATGTAATTATAAAATAAAATATATTTTTAATATGATACGAAAGATAATATTATTGAATATTTTTATATACATATATACATACATTAAATAAGTTATTATTAATAATATATCTTATAAAAACTACGATATTTAAAATATACTTAAAATATATTGTAACACCAGAAATTATTATTTTTTATCTTTTATTTATTATTATCTTCTTTATTTGTATTATTATTAATTATAGTTAATTTTGTAA